AGGAGTTCTGGAGGCAGGGAACTGAAAGGTAACCATTGCTTTCCCTCTATAAACCCATATTATAGCCCATATTTGTACTACCCATTGCATGTTTTGACTGAGTATATGGCGTGCGCCCCTACTTTAACTTGTTGGTTGATTGTCAGGGCATGAATCAGACTAGATAAAAGAATGTCTGTGCAATCTCAGTTTCAATTTTATTGATTGCCTGAAGGCAGATTGTGAACAAAAGAGAATGACATCTGGGAGGAAGACAGTATTGTTTTAAAGTTTGACTGGGTCATTAAGGTTGGGAGGTCCCCATAAGTTTGGGGAGACCCAGTGCCTTGTTTATTGTGGATTGTGTGGAGCGTCAGACTGTTCTATAAGTTTAGGTGGTCTGATTGCTCTGGAGGCTGGGAAGTCCCCATAAGTTTGGGGAGACCTAGTGCTATGGGATTGCTTTGAGGACCAGACTGTTCTATAAGTTTAGGTGGTCTGGTTGCTCTGACTTGAGAGGGTTGCGCGTGATTGACTTTTTAAGGGGCCAAGTGCGTTCTGTAAGTTCATGTGCCTTGGTTGCCTTGGTTATTTTTGGGTTTCATCTGTTTATTTGGTTATGAACGAAGAAGTCTGAGCCGTTCTATAAGTTTAGGTGGCTCAACCTCTCCCTGCTTTACTATGAGAAAATGAACTTGACAAAGGGCAGGTCGTTCTGTAAGTTCAGGTGGTCTAGCCCAATGCCACACACAAATTGGATCGGAGAGAAACGAATCAGGCAGATAGTCGGACTGTTCTATAAGTTCAGGTGGTCTGACTCAAAGTCCGTACATGTTGGAACCCAAAGGTATAAATTGGCTATATTTTATTACTATCCTATTTATGAACGAGTTAGTAAGACTGTTCTATAAGTTTAGGTGGTCTGACTATAGCCTATCACAATCTGAAGAGAGTATAACTAAGAGTAGAACTGAACGTAACTCGGGGCGACTGAGCATTGTTTCTAAGATGAATGGTTCAGTCTTACGCCCACTTGAAGAATTAAGTTCAGAGAGGTATATACAACTTGGTTATTTAAACAGATCAGGGGGACTAGAATGACCTGGTCATATGCCCAAAGAAGAGAAAAGTTGTTGTGCCCTGTGTTTGTGTATACTTTGGCTAAGTTGGGCTCATTCCATAAGTCTGGGTGGCCCGACTTTAGGCCTAGCTAAGGTAAGGTTCATTCCATAAGTTTGGGTGTCCTGACCTTATGTCTTATGTAAGTTGGGTATAAGAGGATAAAGCATTGAAAGATTATGAACTATTGTCTGCTAAGTTGATTTGGGACGACGAGAGTACTTAACTTTGTGGTTTGGCCTGCATGTGACTGAGTGACACCACTACTTAGTCTGAGTTCCAGTTTGACAGGTAATTGCTTTAGGTGCTCGCCACGTGCTAGAACGATAGGAGTTAGTTCAATTTCTGCATTTTCTGAGCTGACTTTATTTTTACTTAGGTCAATTCTGCATTCTCTTAGAGCATTTGTTATACTTGGCTTTGTATAAATTTTGGCACGCTACTTTCTCTACGGGAAGCGCTGCCGAAATTTCTGCAACTCCAGGGAGTTAGTCAAATTTTGACTTTGCAAAGTTCAGTTTGTCTAAAGTTCATATATGGCTTAGTAAAAATCTGGAGAGTCTCCTTTTCTAAACGGAGTGCTGCCCAAATTTTTGCTAATTCAGGGAGTTAGACAAAATTGGACTTTGGAAAGTTGAAGACTATTCCTGTTTTCATATTTTGGACTGATATAAATTCTGGAGAGACACTTTTCCTACGGGAAGCGCTGCCGAAATTTTCTTAGTTTAAAGGAGATAGGTTATATTCTGACAGGTGATGATTCTGGCAGTCTACCATGAATAGGGGAGATAGGTTATATTCTGACAGGTGATGATTCTGGCAGTCTACCCTGAATAGGGGAGATTCTGCAGTTGGTTTACCTTTGTTTAGGCATTGGCTTAGAGGTAGACATAGGCTTAGCTTATAGGGAGATTTTGAGTGAGAATGTGTTATGGAGTTATATTCTCCATACACTTATGATTTTAGCTTGGTGATTGGCCTGTTATGTGTTACAGGTCCTCTTAATCGGTTGATTCAAGATCTGGACTAGATTCAGCTTGATCCTATAAGGATCACCTTCTGTTATCACTGATAACAGGTCGGTTGCCGATTCGTCAGTTTACAACTCAACTCCAACTCAGCTTCAATACTCAACCTAAAAGGCTTTAGCCCCGGTGAATTTATTGTTTCATTAAGGTTTCACCCAGACTTTTATTGAATGACCATTTAACATAGGTGCTGAGTATTTAATTATGGTTGGTTGGCTGGAGGTTGGGGCTTGCATGACTGAAGCGAGGGGTATGAGTATAGAGATTGGTTGAGGCTGACTCCGTGTAGTGCATGGACTTTTGTTGGACTCTTTGATGTGATTGCAGGTATGTTTTGTGGTTCGGATTTTGGATTTGACTGCCTGCGATCACACGTATACATATGGTTGTGAGGAGCCCCACTAAGACTGTGAGAAGTGATCGTCACACACTTATTTTTCCTTATATATATATATATATATATATATATATATATATATATGTGTGTGTGTGTGTGTACCTATGTTCGACGTGAGGGGCCTCGTACTAAAGGCCTACTCAAGGGTTAGGATTGAGAAAAATAAAGAAGATCTTTTCTTTGTGTCTGTTTGCTTCTTGAGGGTTCTTAGTTGGACGTTGGTCCATGGCCGGGATTCAAGGTCCTTGTCCAGGACACCCCAAGCCTTAGACTCTGCAGGGAAGGAATCTGGCCCCGTGCTGAGCCTATTTGCCTTGCTTACCGAGATGCTCAGACTAAAAGCCGGAGGTCTCGCGGTGGCTACACGACTATTCCTTCAGCCGTGCAATATCGTGAGGGATTAGACCCGGAGGATACTTCGAGTCTGACACTTGAGTGTCATAAGTGGTGCTCGGATCCACGAGGGACCGCCTGATTATGGGCACTACATAGTACGTCATCATTGCGACTGCTTGCGTACGCTTGGATTGTGAGTCGATATGAATTAGCCCTGCGTCCGCGCGGTTTTATACTAAGTTCCGCACGCGAAGCCTATCCGATTCCGCATCGGAAAGTTATGGGATAGCTACTAAGCGACTAGGAGCGTTGCCTCGTTGTTTGTGTTGTGTCGTTTCGTGCGTGCCGTTGTGTGTGCGTTTTACTTTTGTGTTCGTAGAGTGGTGTGCGCGTGGTGAGTGGGATACGTCCTAGTCGACCGACGACGGGCCGCACTTGGGATTTCAGCCTCCCTAATGCGTCGGTTCGTGCGCGGGTCTGATAGAGGCGTATTACCGCGTGTACCCCCTATGCTACAGCGAACGAGAAATGCTCTCGGCTGGTCCACCTCTGCGATTGCAAATGATCAACTTTCGTACTGTGGACTGGTAGCTCGGCGGGGATATGCCCACCGAAGGGAGGTGACAACTCCCGTAAGGTGGAGGTAAGTCGTGCCTCGCGCAGGCCCTATCCTGTTGTAGGGACTCGCGAGAGGTATGGCTGGCGCACTCGGCCGGAGCGGCTCGCGGAAGCTCCATGTATATTTGCGACGAAGGATTTAGACCAACTCCTGCGTGACGCGGTCGGGAGGGTCCCGCGCTGCCTCGTGCGGTGCCGGACCGATGCGCTCGACAACGCGCAGTTCACACACACACACTCGAACACACACACACACACCCTCGAGCTTTTTTTTTTTTCGCCCGCCACAACTTCGTCTGCCTCCTCATCTTCTTGTTCTTCCTCCTGCTCCTCTCCCCCTCCTCATCCTCCTCTTCTTCTTCATCGTCGTCCCTGTCCTCCTCGTCCTCGTCCTCTCTATCCTCCTCCTCCTCCTCCTCCTCCTCTTCTTCTTCATCGTCCTCCCTGTCCTCCTCGTCCTCGTCCTCCCTATCCTCCTCCTCCTCCTCCTCCTCCTCTGAGAATGTGCCATGTGGCAATTGCTGTTTTTTTTTTTTTTTTTTTTGGACCCGCTATAACTTCCCTCTTCTCCTCCTCATCTTCTTCTTTCTTGTCCGCCACGTCCTCCTCTTCCTCCTCTTCTTCTTCCTCTTCCACCACATCTTTCTCCTCCTCCAATCGCCGCTGCTGGCCCCAACGCCACCACCACTGTCTATGACGTCTTTAGCGTTGGGCCCAACGCAGCCACCGCTGCCCTCGACGTGGTGACCAATGTTGCTCCCCCCTTTGCCACCGCCGCAGTTTTTTTTTTTTTTTTTCTTCGTATTTTTTTTCCAACCATCCAATCAATCAAAATCAATCAATCAATCAATCAATTAATCAATCAATCAATCAAACAAACAATCCAGCCAATCAATCAATCAATCAATCAATCAATCAATCAATCAATCCACACACACACACATACACACACACACACACCTTTCCCCCCCCCCCCCAAAAACTGTGCGTGCCCCATAGTGGCTTCTGACACCCGCACCCAGGTGGGGGGCGCGCGTTCAGTTTTCCCCCACTGTATGACACGTGGCGCGTTTGAACGAGTTTGAACGCGGGCATGTACGCTATGAATGCGCGGGTTTGAACGTGAACGCTCGTCAAACGCATTCAAACGGTTACATAGGGCGATCATCTCGGCGGTGGGTGGAAGACTGCCAGTGGGGCAGGCGAGGCCAACATGGTCGACCGTGGCAGGACGTACATCCTCTCCCTCATGGGCATAAGTGGGAGTACGTGCAACCTCTCCGTCCTCCAAACCAACGTCACCTGTGGGAGGACGTGCTACCTCGCCTGTGGAGGGGACCGCGACGCTGGGTGCCCTGTGGGCGCCCGTGCAAACGACGGTGGAAGGAGGTGGCACATTCCCTCCACCGTCTGGAATTGTCTGCCCATCATCGGCTGCTCCTCCTCGAGCTTCCGCATGAACCTCGACTGCAGGTTGTGTGAGATGGCGCTGGGAGTCCTGTGCGACCTAAGTGTCTACAATGCATGCCGGAGACTTCGGACGAGCCAACCCTGCTCTACTCTCCGCCAGAGCTGTAATCGCCGCTACAGACGTGGTCGGCACCTCAACGAAACCGGGTTAATGCTCCTCGCCCCTCAGGTCAGCATCACAAGGAATGAAGTCCAAGTCCTCCGTGTCGCTCAGGGAGTCCTCAGACACGACAACCTGCTCATGCTGCATGACGCTTGCCTCCGTGACGGTCGCATCGTGAAGAGTCTGAAGACGACGTCTGCGCACACGAGATCCGATGTTGTTATCTTGTTTGCCCCCGTGTCTCAACCGCTTCAAGACGAAGCGACGACCACGCACAAGACCGTCGTCCTCATACTCCTCACAGCCACCTCTGCCATGAGCTCCCGCGTCGCCGCCACCCCCTCCGTGATCTCTGTCGTCGCCTCCCTCGTCGCCGCCACCTCCTACGTGACCTCTGTCGTCACCTCCCTCGTCGCTGTCACCTTCTCCGTGACATCTGTCGTCACCTCCCTCGTCGTCGCCACCTCCTCCGTGACCTCTGTCGTCACCTCCCTCGTCGCCGCCACCTCCTCCGTGACCTTTGTCGTCGCCCCCACCTCCTCCGTGACCTCTGTCGTCACCCCCACCTCTGCCATCACCTCCCCCGTCACCGCCACCTCTGCCATCACCTCTATCGTCACAGTCACCTCTCTCATCGTCTGTATGCGCGGCGGTCCCCATAGCAAAGAAATCGTCGTCGTCGTTGGACGAGCTGTCGAATAAGAAGTCTCCCTCGTCCCAACGCTGGCGGGCCTTGCGGATGAAACCATTCGCCCGCTGTCGACGAGTCCCAGATGCAGCATGCCCGCCACCATGCCTCGTTCCTCCGACACCTACTCGCCCACGCCCGCCACGTCCACGACCTCCGCCCCTACGTCGCCTCCTGTCGGACTCCGCCACCCGACGCATGGCTCCCATGCGGGAAACGATGCGCATCCTCTCTTTGGCGTGAGTCAACTCCTCCTCGGTCACCCTCGCCAGTGCACCGCTACCTCTGACGAGTTGCTGGTCCACTGCCACCTCCTCCTCCACGGTCTGCCAACAATGCATACAGTTCCCGAAGAAATCGGGCCTGTCAGCAGGAGCATCGTCACACAATGACGGTATGTCGAGTAGTCTGAGGTTCTAGTGGCACCGCACGAGCTTCTCAGCCCTAGCAACCTCCAACCTGTTGCATGACTTCGAATGAATGAAGCTTCAGCGAGACCATGCTCTCTCGCACGGTGATGCAGTCGCCCAGATGGGAAGGATCCTGTCGGCAAAAACGGTCGTGTGAGGGTACTTCACACTCTTCGCAGACCAAAAACTGGCAGGGTGGGTGTAGCTATCCAACGCTCGCCGCATGTTGACCTCATGGAAAGGAGGTTCCTTCGTATGGAACCTGTCGACCGCCCTAAGGACCTGTCTGTGCTGCGCCGATCCCTCTGGGTAGCCGAACTGGACCAAGGCTTCGATTAATCCCTGTTGCACCTCCTGGTCATCGTTGAGCGTCGGGTTTCGGAACTTGGGATCCAGCAACATGACTGTTGTGTGGGCGGGTGTCCGGAACATGGTACGCCGCCTGTCAAACACCTCCAAAATAGTGTCCTGCTGCTCCCGATCGATGTCGCGGCACGCAGACAAGCAAGATGCAATCATCACCTCGTAAGGACGCAAAATCTTGTTTATCTGGCGTGTGTCGCTGTCGACCAACCTCAACATATCCATGATAGGCTCCAACATCCTACACAAAACTCTTAAATCCTCCCACCATGGAGGAGACCCGATACACGCAGTGACCTCTGTGGCGTCCTTGCGGATCTTGATGGTAGACCAAACAGTCTCATGCCAGCAATCAGTGACCACGAGCTCCGTGAGCTCTCCCCGCAGGTCCACAAGCCTCGTCATCATTATGACGTTCGTGCCGAAACGAGTCTCCGCTGGCAACAGCAGGGTTCGAACCAATAGAGACATTGCACGAATTCATATTGCGCGGGTCCCCCGGGAGGCCACCCCGGTATGCTCATTGTTCGCAGACGATCACACTATTATGGTAGATGCAGCACACTATAATATGGAAGAGATCAAACGACTAATGGATAGGTTTGCATCAGCATCTGACATGGTAGTGAACTGGGGAAGCAAAACATAAGGATGGTGGATCCACCATCAGGGGGGTCGCCCACCAGATTCCCCTGCAATTCAATGGCTCCCCCACGAGGCCCCAGTCCGTGTCTTGGGGATCTCCATGTCAGCCCGGGGGCGCCCGCCCTCCAATAACAACTAGATAAGTACCCCAGCCTTGGCAAAATTGGCCAACTGGCGTAATAAGCACACATCTATCCTTGGCAGAGCGCTGACACTTAACAACATGGTTTTTGCTACCTTATGGTACAGATCAGTTCTATGGTCGTTAAGTAAGACAGCGCTCCAATCTCTAAAAGCTAGAGCAGCGGCCTTCTTGTGGTGAGGTGACGATGAGCGGGAAAATGCGATACGTCGAGTGGCATGGGAGTCGGTCATTCAACCAAAGCGTGTCGGGGGTCTAGGCATTATTGATCCACCATCGCAAGTCCAGGCCCTTCGTCTGAAGTGGCTTAAAAAGCTGATCTTTTCCACCACAAGCCCTTGGAGGGCCCAGGCTCTCGAACACGTAGCCCGCCTGGCCCCGCCTGCCCCACCAGAAGTACACCCCCTCACATGGTTGGAAGATCGCTTCTGGTCAATCCCGCGTAGAGTCCCCAGTGGAAATAGTATGGCCTACACTCTTGAAAAGCTGGCGCAGACTCCCCCTCCCTGAGAAATCGGCACCGGAACGATGGGAAAAGGTGTACTGGCAACCGTTTTTTGAAAACTGCTGGATTTCCCCACACCATGGCCAAATACTCTCAGCTCCACGGCACCATGGAAGGGATGGGGGAAACAAGGGATGCTCTGGGTAAGACATCTATGAGACCAAGAAAAAAAGAATTGGAAGACAGTTGCTCAACTCCGGGATAAACTTCGGTACTACCATCACATAGACAAACATCTAGAGTCCATAATAGAGGTAATCCCGCGAGCCTGGTGTAGGTTGTTAAGAAAAGGACCTACCCTGCAAGCAGGAGATTGGGTGGCCTTCCTAGATGGCCCTGCAACGGTTACTGTAGGAGAAAGCAGTTGAGAACGAGCAGCGGAAGCCCAACCTTCATAGTAGTAGTCGTTCGTCCCCTGGTCGTGGCTGGTCCTTGACGACTGACACAAACCACAACCAGATTGACTTCGTATCACCCACAACAGTTAGCGAGCGCAGGCCGGCCTTGCCTCACTGCTCATCAAGCGTAGAAACTGAGGCTGCACTCTTCCGCTAACAGGGGAAAAATACACTGTTGTCCAACCCTTCGCACAGAGAGCCTAATCGTGGCTACGACCGCCGATACGAGGAGCAAAATCGGATGAACATTCACCTGGAGCACAGACAAGTACACTGTCTCATTTGCCCCGTTTTCCGCCAGGTAAACCCCTCTGTCCCTTCAACAACGTTGCATGCAGTATCTTTCCCGTCATCGTTTGTAAGGGCCCGATCATAGTGAGTCTCCTGCCGAACTGCAGCCAGTCGCCTCTCCTCCAATGACCAGCGCAATGGCCAACAGGTAAGCCCCCCCCCCGTCGTCCGCGGCTACCTTACGCAAGCATGAGCAAAATCGAAAGGATTTTCTACACGAAGTCGCCCAGGTACGCGCCTCTTACCTTTGATCCCTCTTGTTTCCTCGTGGTCACCTGACTCTGCTTTCCGCCGATCCTCTGCTCTTTCTGAAACTCCGGGCACGGGGTCGGGCGGCATTAGCTTAACAGGTAAACACCCAGCTTCGCTGCTGGCCTCCAGCTGCCCTTATTAATGGAAATGGCGAATTCGCAAGAGTCCTCCACTAAACCTCAGAAAGATACACGACTGCCAACCATGCGCCCTCGCTCGGTCCTCCGCCTGCTGCTATAACAGGTCAAATGCGAACGAATCTTCCGTTAGAACACATAAAGAAATATTGTCGTCTACCTTGATGCTCCGTGTTCAACCCGTTGCCCAGCGGCAGACTTCTGGTCCCGCGGCCAGTCTCACGTTGCCCTCGCCGACAGGCTGAGCAAAATCGAATGCATCTTCCGCTAGAGCGAGGAAACATGCATCCGCTCCTACTTACCTTAGCACAACGCACTACCTTACTAACGCAATTCCACGACTAACCGCTAATCTCCAATTCTACTAACACTATCAGAATCGCCCAGCTTCAGAACCCCCACTCCGCTTCTCTCCCTGCCTAAAACCGTAAAGTCCCGAGCCCGGTTCCTGCCCCCTGCCTCGTCGCGTTCGCCCTCACCATCACTCCCGTGCGCCTCGTTCTCATGCACCGACTAACTAACCAACCAATTCCCAAATCGAACTCCGCCATCCAACTCGCCCCGACTGAAAACCCCCGAATCGTACCTTCCCTCACTCGTTCCCCTCAAGAAACGAGTGAAATCCTTGTTCCACAGCCCGCCATATCCACCATTCGTCGTTCCTCCACGAGGCGCTTCTCTCTACTAACACCCGTCCTGCTAACCTAACCCCGGAACTAATCTTACCGTTACGCTCACCCGCCCAAAAGCCTTACGTTAACACCTTCCTTCCCCCGAATCCATTAAGGATCGGGCGTGATAGGCAATCCCAACTTTTCATCACTCTCCCTCCTTCGACACCATCCCCGTCTCTATCGTTGAGTGCTCCTGGCGCAACCTGCGTCCAGGTTCCTTCCATTCGTCACTTCGCCCGCTTATCCCGTCTTCTCACTCATGCCCGATTCCAAACGAGGATCGCACTTGCAACTCCTTTTCCCACGATCATCCCCTTCGTCTTCCTCGTGTCGAAGCGAACACGACTAGTGCTTTGTGGTCCGAACAACGCAGAAGCCCTGTCGGAAAGAAAATAGAGCATGGCAAACAGAAAAAGGAAACCGTTTTCAATTTATGCGTATTATCTGCGCGCAGGGTCATGCTGATCTTCCTTGTATCGTTCCAACTTTAACGGATGTCCGGAAGGACCCACTATACAAATGCCCTGCGGCTGCCTCGGGGCCAAAGTAGCCCTGGGCGAGCCAAAAAAATTGGCTTTACTCATCAATTTCCGCCATCTGGATCCAAACCCAGATCGACATTTTCGACAGTTCAAGGGTGCACCCACTGAGCTAGGCTCTTAGGGTCTACAGTCAGCCTTAGCACCTGTGCCGGCCCAGATAAAGCCAAAATAAAGGAAAGGTAATAATAATAAACAATAATAAAAAATTGGAAAAGACCCCTCGGCACTCCCCTAGCCCTGTCGAGCGGGCCCACGATTGCCCCGCCCCCACAAAACTAAGGGGGATAGTCCCGCGAGACTCTCAACCCCTCAGCTCCTTCGCTGCTCCATTACTGCTGCGCTGGCGCCCCGCTGGCCTCGATCCCGCACCTCTGTATCCTGAGTCCAATGTCGTAACCAATAGGGCTAAACCCAAGCCTGAGACCAGCGTCGCAACCTCCTATATAACGTGGTGCAGCACTACGCTCAGGCCCAAGACGGCGGTTTGGGCCTCGCCCCCGCCTACAGTCGAGTTTGCGGCCGTTAACCACCCTCGCCGGCTTACTCCAACTACACCACGGCGGCCACGCGCACCCTCCCGCACATACGCATAGACAAATGTATCAATCACAGGGCTAATCCTACTTCAATCAAAAGAATAAAAATATAGTCGGCGACCAATGCCAGCCTTTTCAGTCGTCAAAAGGAAAAGGAGATCGCACGCGCCTTAAGCCTGCGCGTCCACTCACCCTCTACTCCAGTCAACCTTTAGTCAAACGTAAATGACTGGCATTGCCGTGACTTGAGCGGTACGCTCAACTTTAAATCAAACTCATTTATGTCACTTGCAAAAACCAGGACGGATACCCTTGTAAGGGTATTCGCGCCGACAACGCTATTCCACACGAACACACACAAACAGGAGTTTGCTCTTCTACACACACACACGCACACACACACACACACACACACACATACACACACGCACACATACACACACACACAAAAAAAAATTCCGTGAAAGTCCGTCGAAACAGTCTGGCACAGTCATGCATTTTTTAAAGTGTACAGCAAATAGGACAACACATACAAATGTAGGTAAGTTTTTTTTTCGTTTTCTTTCTTTTTCGTTGTTTATTTTCCGTTTCTTTACAGCCGCAAACCCGTTCAAGTTGAGAACGCGAGTTCATTGAACACACGTTCAAATCATTCGGTTTCTGAACGCAAAACCCGCGTTCAATGAACTCGTGGTTTCATAGTGATTGTCATGGAGTCGGTGTTAGATGGTCTGTCCGACGTATCGACTTTCTTATGTCCCACTTTGGCGATTGTGGCACCGCCAACGACCGGTCGAGTGGATGACACGGATGGAGTGTCTAGAGGATTCGACGAGTTCGCCGGCGACACGATACTGCATCCCACAGTCTTCGCCACTCTCGCCATTTTTCATGTGGGAGCACCGCATGCGGTGGACCAGGGTTTGGCGGAGCAGGTGGCACGGAACCGCCATGGCGGCCCACGCATTGTGGCGCAACGTAGTCTAAGGGATTCATTCGAGAGAGTGGATGTAGAGTATGTGGCGCAGGACGGTCACCGTGCGAGGGATTTCGTAGGCGACGGGTCATCAGTCCCGGCAGACCCTTAGCGGGACCCACACCCAGACCCACTACGTCCAACCCAGGAGACTGTTCGTGAAGTTGTCGGCTTGGGCGGTGGCGAGGACACGAGGCAGAATCTGGCATGGACATTGACCACAGATGGTGGCCTGCCGGGGGGCAGAGACCACGAGCATAGAGCGTCATCGGACGCACAGCGTGGCGCTGACGGGCCCATCTCACGAGCTGTCGGAGGCTGGCACACAGGTGACGCTCGACCGCATCTCATGGCGATGCGTTCAGCACCCCCGCACCCCCATGGCGTCGACCCGTTCGGCCCTGCCGCGCAGGGCTTGCCCGCGAGCACCGCATTGCCGACGGTGTCGTTCTATGACGGCGTGACTAGGGACCGGAGGGCGGGCGACGAGGTGCATGCATTGCCGACGGTGTCGTTCTATGTCCCTGCGGGGACGCGATCAATAGGCCTCGACTATGGTGGTTGTCACGACTCCATGAGAGCATACGAGGAGCGACACGGTAGGCCTACGAGGGCCAAGACATCGAATGTCCACGGCACCAGGACGGCAATTGTGAGGTTATCTCAGGCGAGGAAGAAGGGGACAAGTACATCGATTCCATATCACCGTCGCCTTCATCTACCTTCTTTTCATGCTAGAGATCCGACCAGGATGACAACTGTCGGGGCAGTGGCGGACGGAGGGACAGGCGTCGGAGGCTCGACAACCATTTTGCATAGATCGGAGCGTGGGCATGACGCACTTCACGGTGGTGCATCTGGAGCAGCCTTCAAACGTGATGTCGTCGACTGTTCAGGGCGCGTCGAGAAGAGACGAGACGATGTGGTCATCTACCATGACGACAGTTCCACAGCTGAGGAGGCTGGCAAGACCACAGGCGCTGACGATCTAGGTGATTCCAATTATGTGCCCAGAGGTCGGGCGGCGGATGGAAATGATGACATAGGTCGACGCGTCAGGCAGAGGATAGGACTGGGGCCGCATAGCCAGGGCACGCCACGGCCTCTATACCGCCTATTGATCAACATGCGCAAGCTCAGTCTTTGATGGCCAAACTGTATCATTACCGGTCTGAGGTCTGATAGCTCTCATGGTACAGTAGGATAAATTGTTTGTACAGTGTCTTCGTTTCATGGCCAAACTGTATCATTACCGGTCTGAGGTCTGATAACTCTCATGGTACAGTAGGATAGACTGTTTGTACAGTGTCTTCGTTTGTCGGAGCATTTTGGTAGTTGACACTTCGTTGTGGCATTGCTGCGTATGCACAAACTGGACGTGGGACAGTTGTTGCACAGCAGATGACACACTGAGGCAGACCTTCGGAGTGGGGTGTAGGTGACGAGATGCAGGCAGGCCTTCGCAGCAGGGTGCAGTTGGCGAGATGGGTTCAATATTTAGGTGGCATTGGACGTTAGTACCGTGTTACTAGAAAAAAACTCTGCATGAATGATTCACTGCATTTAATAAATAGTGTGGTCACTGACTCATTGTGTCGACTGTCATTTCTTCAGTGTTTTCTGGACGTGATATAGTCGGCTGCACTGAAGGCATTGATTCAATTGGATTTTTTTTTTTTTTTTTAACACCGTTAAATTTTTGGTCAATGTCTGTGTGTGCCAAGTTGGGTGTTTGTTGCGGTCTAGGAGTTCACTGTTTTGGGGAACTTTTGGGGAGCCTTGAGAAATCGTGAAAATCCTGAAAACTGAAAAGAGTGAATTTGCATAAGAACACATTTTTGCCGTGTCGTTTTATGGGTTTTAAGTCTTTTTTTTTTCAATTTTTTTATTTAAGTAGTTAGTAAAACTTAGTATGTTGTCCACTCCATGAATTGGTGGCAAGTTGGCAACACTTGCAAGTTTGGTTTAAATGAACGTTGGGTTTTGTTATAAATGGTTTGACAAATGGTCCGAAAATCGAGGCCTCCGTTGACCGTCTCACCCACCCTCAAACCCCCCACCGTCAAACCCACCACCC